TAAGTGTCAGGATGCTGGGGCAAGGTGGGGCAGCCATTGATGGGGCTAGGAGAGTGGGCAGGGAATGGGGCCTGTTTGATTCAGAGATTTGGCCAATTCGGCGGCAGTCAAATCTCCAAATCAGATTCGGCTGAATCAATTCAGGACAGTGATTTGAATCTCAGAATCAAATCACTGTCCCCCAAACCAGCCAAATTCGAAGCAAATACTAGCCGCTTTGCACTGGCCTAGTATCTATAGCCCTCACCATAAAAACTAAGATAATTTACACAGCATGTCTGTTACACATGTGGTTTTTTTCTGAAATGTTCAGAGCTACACTATTTACAGCTTTACTCAAGGTTTTTGCTAGATCAGAGACTCACATCAAAAAGGCAGTCCTTTCATTATTGTTAAAAAAAAAATCCCCTTTTTCTCATACTGCCCCAGCAAAGCATTTAAGCATGTTCTGTCTTAAACATCTAAGTACATCCCTCTTCAACTTTCAACCCATCCTAAGTCTTTACTAAGGCATTTTGCTGAATTGAGACTGGAGACTGCTTACCAGTCACTAGAAATTCAGGCTTTGCAAAGACCGTTTTTCAAGGAGAAAAAGGTTTATTGTCTATGACAACTCTTCTGAGGACATTTCCTCTGTAAAGACACATTTTCCCATTCTGTTTTCTTGACACCTTGGTATCATCTTAGAGATTTCAAGTAGTGTAAAAGAACCAAAAGGTTTTGGCTCATCCTTTATAATTTTATTTAATATGTTCAGTTTTATAGATAGGTTGTCTTTGTGACCTTGGAAATTAGCAATTGAAAAGAATTCCAACATTTACAAGAGCCTAAATTCAAGTTTTCATGACAATATATTAAGAGAACTTGAGGTAAAGGTAAATAACTTCCTTTTATAATGTATGTGTACAGGTACATTGGGTGTGTTAGCCTGAATTCGTTGGCCTGCAGGTCATGGTGCAGAGTTCATTTTCCAGGCTTTTTATATATGAATGATGAATTTTTGGATGGTAATACAAATTTTTATATTTTGGTAGAGTTGAGGTCATGTTGTTGCCATAATGGTCCAGGAAATATGTGAAAGGCAAGAATTCTTGTGAGTGAAATATTTTATTGGACCATCTCATGGTTGGGAGAGAGGCATAAGGAAGGGTACTATAACACCTGAAAGCTTTAAGTCTATGCCAACTATGCAGTTGGTCAAAGAAAAGATATCAGCCATATGCATTTTTGCTTCTTCCTTTTATATTTTGGATGTTTTTCCAATCTGCTTGCTTTACCAATTAATATTTATATATATTACCCCAAACTCTGGGATGAATTTTGAAAGACTGATGTGTAAAATGAGTTTGATCAATTTTATTACTAAATGCAGGGATCCCATTTTCTTTTGGTAGGTCAGTGCCAAGAGGCCAGGAAGCAGCCAGCTTTTGCCAGCAGAGTTCAAGGAAGTATAGCGAGAGTACTCTGCTGTTCAGTTGTTCTCTATTGCTATGGAATTTCCAGGGCTTCTTTCCAACAAATTGTGTTATAGCAGTTTTAAGCAGCTCTTGCATATATCAGAGTATGGATCAAACATGAGATTCAGAAATTTTAACTGATACCTTGATAGGTTGTTCATTCTGTCCCATCAAATTTATACTTGGTGCAATAGAAAATGTGAGCCAAAATATTTGACATGTATTATTTAGTTGCATTATGTATAAATAGTATGCATAATGATTATATATGTAGCTAAATAACTGAGATACTGTATTGCATTTAAATGTAAGGTGTTTATTGACTTTCTTTGGAAGATTACAGCAGTACTATTGAACAATTCATGATGGAGAATTTTACAACATGGTAAACTCTTTGCTTTGTCTCATGAAGACATTTGTACTACTTGCATTTGTTATTTTCCTTAATTAAATATAAATGAGCTGTAGATTTAAAGTAACTCTTAGCTCTGTTCATGGAAAACATCAGCATGTTTGGAAAGAAATAAATAACAAAATATAAAGAAAAACTTCATATGTTATTAAGAAAATCCATGGACTTTATTTTCAAGAGCTGTCAGCAATAATGTCATTTGTTTAGACTATGACTGTGTTTGTAACCTAAGTTCTATTCTTTAGGTGGTGATAAGAAGATGGAGGGAGAAGCTGCCTATTGCTTAGGTTTAGCATATCATTCTGCTGGAGAGGAACAGACAGCAATATTAGTAAGTTTATTAAAAATGCTTCAGTTATTCCCATGGTCTTTCTCTGCCTCCTTGGAATTTTCTTAGAGGCTGTGTACAAACATGCATTTCTAGAGGTGGGAAGTTTCCACCTGCTCCTTGTGCTTTCCCGAGACCAGGATCTTCTCAGTCTAGAGAAAGTGTGGGGCTTCTCCAAGCTTTTCCAGTCTTCCCATTCCTGGGGGGACTGGAGCAGTGGGGCAAAGCCCCTGCACACTTCTCACACTGGAGTCTCTAGTATGAGGAGCAAGCATGGACTTTGTCACTTGGCTTCTGGACACAAGGAGCCAAGCAGAAACAGCATGTGGCAAACCCCTTGCCCACTTCTCACAGCAGAGTCCAGCGTGTGAGAAATGGGCATGGGCTTTGCCACACTGCTCTGTCCACTCCACTCCCAGGCACCAGGAGCTGAGCAGAGGGAGCAGCATGGAAGACCCCCTGCCTACTTCTCATACTGGTGACCTTAGTCTTTGGAAATCACAGGAGCCTTTATATTTCTACAAGAGCAATCATTTTGGCTTAATGTGATATCTTTTATTCGACCAACTAAATAGTTGGAAAAATTGTTCAAATTTTCTAACTATTTAGTTGGTCTAATAAAAGATATCACATTTACCCAAAGAACCTTGTCTGCCTATGTCTTTAGACCAGAACAGCTACAACCAATACCCACAAATCATTTTGGCTTTACATTTAAAGAAGTGGCACCCTGATCTTCCATTTTTGGGTCAAAGGTTTTATAACTATTAAGATGCTACTGTAATAACCTCTGTGAAATATTTGGGGGGGAATATGTTATAAATGTTTCCTTCTTTCCATTAACACTTCCATCCTGCCAAGTTTTACTTCGTCCAGATCCTGAACATCTGAAGTATGGGAGAGGGGTTTTCCCTTGATGAAGAGTTGTAGGATGGTGTTGTCTCAGCAGTGCTGCCAATTGACTTCATATTCTTCACCTTATTCTTTCCCCTAGAATCTTCCTATACATGATTAAAAGGATAGAGGGAAGTTCTGCTTATAATAACTCCAGAAAAGAGTACTAGTTATCCCTCTGTACTTTCTTGGATCAGTTTGAGAGGAAAGATCAGTGCCAGCTCAGTGTGCTTCCACCAAACACTACTGAAGTATGGTAGCATTCCATGATCAACTCAAAAATTGTCATGAGGAAATCCAGTAGCATGAGCATAAATGCATGTTGTCTTGGTCTACAGACACAGACAAAAGCGTTCACCAGCTTGACCAATGTTGTCTCTGTTCATGCCTAGCCTTAAATCAGCTGAGAGTGATCCAGTGTTCTAGCAAGGAACAAACTACATGGTGAGTGTGGCTCTTCACTATGTGGTTTTGTTACTGTTTTTTTAACTTGCTCAGAAACTGGACAATAGCTGCACTTTGAATCAAGCAAGGATCTCTTCAGGATTGGCTGGCTTATTGTGTGGTTTAGGGTAGATGGTGGATTTCTGTGTTCAAAGGTGATGATAATTTGTCATGTGAGTTCAAGAAGCCTTTGGCAATCTTATACAATAATTCCAATGATCTAGGACTTCCTACTATATAAATAAACTGAATTCTAGAAAGGCGAGTGTTATGATATTGGTTCTGTAATGGGCATGTCATTTCTGGTGGTCAGAGAAACCATCTGGTGCTGTAATGGAATAGACTGCTAAATCCTCTCAGTCAGATGAGCTGAGGTCAGAAGTTGAATAGAAGTGTTTCACACCAAGTAAACAACGTGTGGTTTGGAATAATTTTACAAAGTGATATTTAGTGTTTGCTTTGGCAGAGGAAAAGGATTTCTTGACCATTTCCAGCGCTAGAGTACAATAGAGTAGGTTAGAATTCCTTGTGCTAAAACTGGTTAGCATCTCTGCAGGTTTCTGACCATCAACTCTGAAAGGTTTTGTTTTTTCCTTCCTGCAACTTCTTTAGCAGGTTGAAAAACAAAGAAACGTGTGGATAATAAGCAGACAGCATCAAAAGTGGATGACCTAGGTAAAGGCTTCTTCATGGACATGTGATTTTTTTTTTCCATTATTGGGAGATGTTCAGTGACCAAGAGTAGAGAAATATCCATACCATTTAAATACCAAAACCAGACTCAATAATGTTAAGAATATTTGCAGACTGATATCTTCAGGCAGTTTCCTTTATGATGTTTTCTGGTTTTTTAGGCTAAAAAGACAGATTAAAGATAAGTTGATAGTTTATGACATTGTCTTCTTGGTCCTCAGTGAAAGATTACTTTTTGGGAGGGTGCTGGAACCTTGGCTTTTGAAAGTGGAGTAACATTTTTTTTTCCTTTGGTATACTTTATATAATACTTTGTGCTTTACCCTTTTTTTTTAATCATACAAATGCCCTTAAAGAAGTGGGAAACAAGTTGTATTTTCTGTGAAATATGGAATGCTGTCCATACAGTGCACAATATAAATGGGATATACTATGGCAGACCACAAAATATTATAGAAATCCTTATTGATATTGTAATTTGTTTCTATTTTCATAATTTGTGCATATAAAAATCACAATATCATTAACTACAATTACTTCATGAATAGATGATAAAATGGTATTTTTAAACTCTTATAAATGAAGTTTTTAAATTATAAGAAACTGACAGACAACTTGCATTTAGAAATATAGATCATTTTCACTCAAGAAACTATATACTATATTACAAAACAACAAAAATGGTATTTCAGTTCATACTTTCCTTTCATCCTCAGCAGCAATCAAGATATAGAGAGCTGCAAAATATTGGTGGTTTACAATGCCATTGAGCACAAGTTGTCTTTACTTTCCAATTAGAAATCATTGCCTAAAATTTACCCTTCTGTTCTCAGTTTAATGGTCTCTATATCCAAGGGGAGCTCAGATGCTTACAGAGATGAAATCATTGCAGCCTGTCCCCAGAGGACTTCTGGTTATCATTACACATAACATGCAGACAATACTGCTAGGAGCCAGTTTGCCTCATGGTAATATGTAGTTCATCACCAGCTTCTGTAGCATGCTAAAGAGGTCTTGCCACACAGCTTGGGACTATTCGGGTGTAGACTCAGGGGTCTCAGCAGTTATTTTCCTGCTTTGCATCAGAGTTTTCATCTTCTTTATCCTTTTGTGTTGTGGCCCACCTCAGGCAGTCTCCTTCTAGGGGAATCTAAAAGGAACAGCTGTTACAGATACTGTTTCCTCCAATTGTTGCCACTTGGTTCCTTTTGCCATTTAAGGCGTCCCTCCCTCTCCCAACATGCATACACACCAGCATGCATATAAACTTGTTTCTCTTTCATTCATCACTTTATCAGTGGAGAAGCGTATGTTCAAAATATTCATTATCTGACACAGTAATTAAAGGTTAAAATGATTAAGCTGCAACCTCTTATATCAAATATATTTAACCACTTTGTGTATTAGAGTATGTTTATTGAAGATTTTCTTTTCAAAGCATGTTTAACCTGTATAGCATATGTAGACTGACAATTTGTTGATATAAATTTTTGACATGTATAAATTCAGTTATCAAAGTTTGACTTCCGTGAAAGTATTCAGATGTGTAAAGGTAAATATGTGCAGAAATCTTTGCAAAACTGAGGCCTAATTATGTTCCTTTGTGGCATTTTCACTACGTCTCAAGTAGTATGCAGTTTATATTCATGAGTAATTACTGTTTTCTAAATGTTGTTGAAGTACAAAGTCTAATACATAGACTTCATCATGGGATGGTATGAATTTTGCCAAGGGAAGGTATCTGCTTGCTACTTTATAAACTAACCTTACGTTTGGATTTGCTATAGATATCTTTCATTAAAATTGTTTTGCTAATCAACTACTACAAGTAACACATTTTGTGTAATTAGAAATCTTGTATATGACAAGTATCTTATTGTGATATATGTTGTGTGTTTTTATGTTAATGTAGATTTTATACCTGAATTTTCAAAAGCATTTTAAGAAACTAAATATCCAGCTCCCCTTGTCTTTCAATTAGTGATGCATGTCCAAATCCCTTACTCTAACTCTTCTTGAAATTGTCAGTCTACATGACTTGAGTATTCATTTTATAAGTATGTTATTTCAAAATGTTTCTCATTGTAGATATTAGTGTGTGTTCCATATGGTGTATGCTTTAATGCATAATAATAAAGAGATTGCAACATTAAGCACTGCAACCTATGCCAAAAGAAGCATGATAATTTATGATACAATGTCACATCCATGAATTATCAAAACTTGTAATGCACCAATTACAATGGCAACATTCTTTAGAAAATTTATGAAGTTATAAAGCCCTTTTAACATCTAAAATGACCCCATTAAAGTAATCAAAGATGATTTATGATTGTAGTCTGTATTTCTAGAGAAGTATTACACCCCAACATTTATATCAAAGCAACTGAAAATTTTACCTTAGCTTACACAGCCAATCAGAATGGAAGTAGTTATATACTGGGATGCAGGTCACTCTAAAGTTATTGGATACACTGCTATATAAGAAATCTTTCTAGTCATTTATATCTCCATGTTCCCTGCAAGAGTGTTTCCTGCTAAGTGGATTTTCCATGAGATAGATCTGATTAATTATGCACTGTTCTCAGTGACAATTTATTTTGAAATATAATTGAGGAGAATGAACCTCATTCCCTTGACAGTCAGCTAATTCTTGACCTATGGGTTGTCTGCCACTGTCTGTACCATTAGCTCCATGCAGCAAAGAAGAAAAGGTTTTGCTGCCTACCATACTGCTTAAAGTTCTGGTATATTGATTAGGAAACTGAACTTCAACAGCAATTAAGCAAGTTTTGACCAGATGGCTAATTTAGTTTTAAATTTGACATATCATTCTTATCATTACAGGTAAAGTTGCTTAGCAGACTGAGGTTCCCAAGGACTTCCTACTGTCCAACAAATGAAGGAATTTTGAAATTCCTTTCTGAAGTGTGATTGGCTGTTCTTGCAGACTATCCTTTCTTGGTCAGTAG